ATGAGCTCTGTTGGCATGAGTACCACTGGCCCAAGTTAGGAAAGCCCGGTGCCCCTCCACAAGGATGGGGGACTGTGCGCTGTGCACTGCACTTGGAAACAAGTGGGCCTTGAGAAAGCTGTAGAGCCTGTGCCCACATCACATAAGGCGGGGGCTTGAGATCGAGTGGGCAGCAGTCACTCCAATGCTGATAGGTAAAGTGTACCCCTGACACAGCTTGTAGAACCCCCGGGCATTCCGTCAGGAATTCAGTTCTGGCCCGCCTGATGCCCAGAGCCCCATTCCTAGTTGCCTTTGAGATGCCAACATAGCTCTAAACTCCATCAAGCCCTTTCTGAGGGGGTACAAAGGGACCTCAGCCCTTTTCAGGCCACAGGCCTCTTACACCAGGCCAGAGGGTTAGGCATCCAAAGCAGATTCGTGGCACGGCTTTTCCAGCATGGAGGTTTCCGTTGCCGAGTGGGAGTTTCTAAGAAGCAGAATTGCGGTCGGGAGCCTCTAGACAGGAACACACTCATCCCCACTCACTGGAGGCCAAGATATCTTCCATCAGTCTGGAGCATTCCAGCGTCACGATGCTGTCCTTCCCAGGCCGAAAGCATGAGGGTCACAGGGATTGAGGGTCACTCGGCTCCCTTTAGGTCTGGCATGCTAAGGCCTGTCTGTGCCATTTTTTTTTCCCCTAAATTAATTTTGGGCTGAAAAAGGCTCAAAGAAGGCTTTGTTCCTCTGACACTCTGAAAGAAAGACCCGTGGGAAGTCTGACATCTGCAGCAGGAGCGAGTGGATGGGAGGAGCTCGAACGCCCTCCGCTCCTGAAGAATGCCTCAGGTTTCTAAGTGTCTCAGCTCAGCTTCGAGTTTGAGTGACATTTTAATTATTTTGTTTTTTTCTTCCCTTCCTGGTGTGAATCTCCAAAGAGCCCCTCTCTCTCTCTCAGGTTCTGAGGGATACAGAGCCTTGTGCAGCCCATGGACATCGGGGTTATCCCTGATGGTGGCGCTCCCTTCCCTACCCAGTAGCTGTGTTCTCTCAGCAGCCAGTCCTTCCACTTGGTGGACACACAGAACAGGGCTTTGCAGAGCTGGGAGCCTTCAGGCACTGGACTGTCAGACCTGTCCCGCAACACCGTGTCCATGTGATCATGGCCTCACAGGGTGGGAGTTCCACCGGACGCCATCCCCAGGGCTTGTAGTCTGAATGTTTTTGTTTCCCCAGAGGTAACTCGGTTGTCTGAGTAACTCATCCATCGAGTCTTTAAATAGAGTGCTCCCGGGTGGGGGGTGGGGGGGTGCAGAACACCGTTCAGCTCCCTGCAGTGCACACAGCTCCCCTGTGGTGTCAGGATTGCTGGGAGCCCTGTGGAGTCTGTGACACCCTGGAGACATTGCTTCTGAAGAGAGAGTGCTCCCTCTAAAACCAGCCTTCACAAGCCAGCACCCATTAGGTGGTGTCACGTGTGTCACTTGTAGCCCTGGTGTGAGTACTCACGTGTTCCCATAGGTGCTGTTAAGTTTGTGTAGTCCCAACACCCTCGTGATCACTTGGATCCTACATGTCAGTGGCTCCTTTAAGGGGCCTCGGGCTGGCATCTCTATGTGGACATGGCCCCTTTCAGCTTTCAAAATCAGATCTACTGCTGAGCCTGTCTCCTGGGCCCCCTCTGTGAGCATGTCTGGAACTAGATGTGTCCTGCTTCCCACACAGCCTCACACTGTCCAGGTTACTTTGCTTGGATGGCTGCAGAAGCCATTGCTGGCCCCACAGCAGCCAGAGAGCCAAACTATGTGCCACCAGGCCCTGTTGAGATCCTCAGCTGCCTCACATACTCCCAGTGTGAGAAGGTCATTTGTGTTGACCTCAGTATGTCTGGGAAGGTGCTGTTTAGCGTGATTTCTGTGTGCTCTCTTTTGTTAGAATGGCTGTCAGGAGGCCTAGACTAACCCATTCAGCTAGTGGACAGCAGTCTCAGCCTTGCTGAGAGGTCTGGTGACCCATTCTTGTGGACTCCCCGTGGATCATGGGCTTTCTGAGCAGCCTAGTATGCCATAATAAACACCACCCGCTGTCTCGAGTGAACCTCACACTCTCCACCAATGATCTAATCTAGGTTCTCAGGGGCTTTCTGGCTCACCATGTTGGCTTCTCGCTTTTCTCTCTGCCCCAGACAGACCTCCCACCCACCACCCCAGCATCCACAGGCCACTCTCCCATTGCTCCTGGGGCAGTCCCTGGCCTCTCCTGGTATGCCACTCTGTCTTAGTTAGGGTTTCAGTTTTTGGGATAAAGCTCCATGACCTGGGGAGGAAAGGGTTTATTTCATCTTACACTTGGAGATAATGGTCCATCACTAAGGGAAGTCGGAGCAGAAACTCAAGCAGGGAAGGCACCTGCTTGAATTGAACTGATGCTGAGACTATGGAGGAGTGTTGCTTACTGGCTTGTTGAGCGGCATTCTTACAGCACCCAGGACCACCAGCCCGGGGATCACCACCCATAGTGATCTGGGCATTTTCACATCAATCATCAGCCAAGAAAATACACCACAGCTTGCCCACTCTGGTGCAGGATCTTTTCAGTTGCGGTTGTGTCTTTTAAAACCATGCTACTTGTGTCAAACTGACATAAAACTAGCCAGCACACCCTCTCCCCGGGGTTTTCCCATCTCCCCATCCACTTGCAAGCTCAAATCCCAAGCCCTAGTGAGATAATATGAGAAGGGGCCTTCTATCTTCTGATTTCTCTGTGGAGGGCACCTTTGTGAATGCTATAAGTGCCCTGATAAAAAGGGTCCCCAGAGAAGCCTTCACCATCTGTCCACACCAGGCTGTCACAGGAGGCCAGTTGTCTACAATTCAGAAGTGGACCCTTGATAAAACCAACCATGCCAGCCCCTTCATTTTGGATTTTTAGTCCCCAGAAATGAGAAATGCATTTCTGTTGTTTTTGTCACTTATCTGTGCCACTTTGTCAAAGCAACTTAAGACCCCTTTTTGAACTTTCTCCTGTATTAGGATGAGTCTTTTTTTTTTTTTTTTTTAATGTACACCCAGACCTCATGGGCACTCAGTCCAGGTCTACAAGCTTGTAGTAGATTGATGGTGGATGGACCAGTGAGTAGGTGGTTGATGGGTGGGGGATTGGGTGGACAGTATGTGGATGGATGGATGGATGGATGGATGGATGGATGGATGGATGGATGTTTGATGAGTGGATAATGATGGTGGGAAATGGATGGGTGGGTGCTAGGTGGTTGGATGACAGATAAGTGAATGGATGAGGGATGAATATTGGGTGGTGTGTAGATGGGTGGCGGGTTAGATAGATGGATGGATAAATGGTTGAGGGATGGGTGGTGGGGAATGAGTGGTATATGAGTATTAGATGGTGGTGGATGATGGTGGATGGATGGATTGTATATAAATGTATGGTGGGTAGATAGATGGATAGTGGCAGATGGAGCCAAAGGAACTCCCCAGGACAGTTGTAGCTACAGGAGCTACCATCTCAGAAGGCTAGGTTATACCTACCTTCCCTCTTAGCTAATGTGGAAATGACAGAACTTAGAGTTGAATCTCTGTATCTCAAGCCAAGATTTTAGTTCTTTTAGGAACACTTGCCTGTGATTTGCAAGCAAGTCACCTGCCCCTGGCTTCCCTGAGAGAAGGTGGACAGGCCCAGTACCACCTGTAGGCAGAATACGGAGGTGGCTGAGGCAGAGCCAGGGACCAACTGCTAGGTGCTACTCCCACTCTCAGCTGCTCTGCCTAAGCTCTCATCTGACTCACGGGAGCTCCTGGAAACCGCTCCCTCCATTGCCCAGTATGCCCAGCACAGCACGCTCTGCTCACAGAGACACTGACAGCCCGAGCCGGGCTTCCCATCAACACTGCTTATCGGCAAGAGCAGCCACAGATTGCAGAAGCTCATTTCTTCTCCCACGGAAACTTTTGAACCTTTTGAGGTGCAGCTGGCAAGCCTTTCTTTGCTGGCGTCCAGGGTATCTGCAGTGTGGGATCTACACAGTTCTTCCCTAAAAGATACAACTTCATAATTGTGATAGCTTTGTGGTGTTTGTGTGTGGCGTGTGTACAGGAGCGTGGTTGCACATGCTGATGGATACAGGGTGTTTTCCGTCACACCAAACCATCTCTTACTGAACCTGGAGCTCACCAATTAGCCTAGCTAGCCAGTGAGCCTTTAGGACCCTCCTGCCCCTGTCCCTCAGGGTTGGCATTGCAGATGGATGCCACCACATCCAGATTTTTTTTTAAGGTCTTAAGGTCCTAAAGTTTGTTCTGTAAGCGCTCTCCTCGGCCTGTTTGCTTTTTTTCTTGTGGTGGGGGAGGGGGTCGCGCATGTAGGTACATATGTGTGAGGTTCCACAAACATGCATGCATGTGGAGGCCTTCAGACAACCATGAACTCTCACTGGCTTAAAGCTCACCAAGCAGGTGAGACTGGCTGGCCAGTACCTATCCATCTCCGCTTCCCCAGGGCTGGGACGGTGAATGTGCACCCTCGTTGGGCAGCTTTTTGTATGGACTCAGAGCACTGAACTCAAGCCCCCATGTTTGTCCAGCAAGCACTTTGCTAAGTGAGCTATCTTCCTAACTCCTAAAAGATGGTTTTAAAGAAAGTACAGAACGGTTCACGGGTGCAGCTTAGTGATTACTTAAAATGGGCAAGGCCCTGATTTCCATCCCCAACACACTGCCCCAAAGAGCACAGAGGCCCTGACTGTACATTCCCGCTGTGAGCATGTTGGCTTTGAGTCCTCAGAAGGAGCCTGCGTGTGCTTATCACACAGCTGTTTGGATTTCACCTCTTGGAGTACTTCCCACAAGAAATAAGCCCCTCCCTTATTCTTTGAAGCACAGCTACATGGCCTTTGGGGATTGGCCACTTCTTGTGCCTAAAAGTAAATCCTGTTTGCGGTCCTTGTATCTCAACTGCCAGCCCATGACTGATGCTGTCCTCTCTCTTGCCTCCTCCTGCAGGGTCTAATCAAGATCCGTGGGGACAAGTGCTGGCTGGACCTGACCTGCATGGACTTCCACTATGAGGTGAGCACAGATCTGGCTCTGGCTGAAGCGTCAATCTTGCTGTTCTCAGAGGTCCCCTCATTCCTCCTTTCTCTGGGGCAGGTCACCAGGTGGCTTACTAGAGTGCCTCCCTCCTGCCGGGCTGGTTCCTCTGGTTACCTGGTTCCCTCTTTCTGCCCAGGCCTCCCTCTAGACCAGGCTAGATGCCATTCTGAGAGCTGCAGCTCTGGCTGTGTCTCCTGCAGGTACAGGGGGAGGCTATTCACACCTCCTACTGTGCTTGGGCTCCCATAGACAGTTATCATAGACACCAGGGCAGCCCAGACCCTGGGCCCAGGTCTCCATTCCTCACAACAGGCCTGCCCTTACCAGATGCTCATGCGCTTGTGTTGGGGATGAGGGCAGGGACAACTTCATCCTGCAAATTAATCCAAGGGCGTGTGACATCGTGGTGCTGTCCATCTACCCATCACCCTGAGCCAGGAGAGCTGCATGAGTCTCACGATCTGTCCTCCCTGCCCCAGCCCACACTGCCCACTGCTGGAAATAAGGAGTTAGTCACTACCTTCTCTCTACTCTACCGAGAGCTGTGGGTACCAGTCTCAACCTCTGTCATATTTTAGTGCTGAGTCTAGACACTTAAGTCTCTGTCCACTGAAGACACTAACCCATGCAAGCTGCTCCTTTGGTGTGCTCATCCCTGTCAATTGGCTGGAGGTATGCACGGTCTGCTTGTGGTTAACCAGGATGTCTAGACTTTACTTTTTAAGGTCTCGAACGTCCTCGTGCCATCATCCTCATCTGTCCCAGAAATCCCCTCTCTACTTGACTGGGGACCCCACCGTTTTCTCGTTCCTACATCGGTGGTGGGTTCCAACTTCTGTGAGCGCCAGAGAGGAAGTACGTTCAACCTTGCAGTAACAGGAGAGCAGCCACTAGAATGAGTAGCTGGCTGTATGCAATGAGCTATTGACACGTCTAGGCCCTGGCACAGAGAACAGGCCTCAGACACCTAGTCAGTGAAGCCTGGGCTGCCCCTGTCCCTCAGGCAGCAGCACCTCACCAACATGGCCCCACACCCACACAGCATGGTGGCTCTCAGTGCTATGGATACAGGTCACCTTCAGGTTAGCCCCGGCAAGTCCAGGAACCATCTGGACACAGAGTTCACGGAACTGATGCACTAACATCTCGTTGACACAAAGCCAGGTGAGGCCACACACCGGAGCCTGTGTTTTCATCCACATGTCCTGCATCTCACTGTAAACCCAGGCCCTCTAAGAGCTCTGAAGCACTGCAGGATCCCTGTCCCCTCCCCCAGGGCCTGGTCAAGTACATGTGAGGCAGGGATCACAGCACATCCACAGAAGCCCCATGGCCACTGCTGCACTCCGACCCAGCGGTGACGGTCAGTTGTGAGGTTCCTGAGCCTGTCGGGCGCTTTGACTGTGAGGCAGACCAGTGCCAGTGCCAGACCAGGTCTTGTGGAAATGATGCTTATGGGTGGGTTAAACTGTGGCCCTTTAGCTCTGAGAGACCATAGTCTCAACCTAACAGTATCCGGAAACAGAGTCCCTCACCAGACACCCGCCATTACAAGCCGCAAGTCCAGGTGTTCCATACCCTCTGTCCAATTTGGCTATGAGCTGGTGTTCCCACAGCCATGTTCAGTCAGATGACATGTAGGTCATCTCACAGAATTCAGGGACCTTTTGTTGAGATTCTGTATAATGTGAAGTACACTTTTCACAATAGGCCAAAGACCAAAGGAAGATACTCGGTCTCTTTGGGTTCCCGACTCATCAGTCATAAAGCTTGGGTGTCCTGGTCTGAGTTGTGATTCACTGTGTGGGCATGGTTAAAGAACTTGCCGTTGGAATTGGTGACCCTGGCCAGCTTCAGCAGTGGCCCTGGGGTCTGGCGAACAGAAAGCTCATGCCAGGCATCTCTGTGGCCAACCTTACCCCAGGAGTGGCATTGTCTGCATGGATTTGTTGTAGATAACAGAATACACCTCCCCCAAGGCAGCCCTACCAAGGTTCCAGGGATTTCGGGAGCTGTATGCCCAGAGTCTGGACAAAGGCCAAGTCTAGATGCTCCTTGACTCTGACAAGGCTGTGTCCTGTTGGAAGCTTCAGGTTACAACCAGTTGCCCACATAGAAGACTGCCAGTGGTCCCTGGGTGTCACAGCTGACCATGGACTTGTGGTTCACCTTCACAACAAGAGAGAGGATCCTATCACACATGACCAGCCCAGGAGACCCCCAGGGCATGGTTACTGCTAAGCACCTGTCACTCATACACCATCGTAAGGCTGAAGGCCTCTAAGCTGATGATCTTCATGTTCTTTCCAAGTCATGATGTCCTAGCTCCAAGCCTAGCCCACCGCAGCCGCAGCACCCATGAAATTCCCCACGTGGTCTTCTGCTTGATACCAGACACCTGTCCCCGGGAGGAAGAAGTACATTCCACGTAACTCACAGGTCCTGTGTTCTGGGGCCTGGAAGAGACGGGTGGGCCCCTGGGCCCTGCTGCTTCCTGCAGCGCTATCCTCAAATGCGGCTCGCACCATTGCGCAGGCCCTGGTGCTCAGCTCTGTGCCGACGTCACAGAGCTACACACATAGCAGCCTTCCCCAGCAGGTCCTCTGCTGGAGCACCATCTGGAAGCCCTGCCAAGAAGCCCGGGGCCCTGCCCACGGCACGGCAGTCACAGTGCGCGGTGTGCAACGTGCAGAGAGTGCTGTGAGATGCCGCGGTCTGCAGCACTCACTGATGGAGACAAATATAGATCGCCCATAGCAACTGTGCGCCACACTCAGGTGTCCGTTAGAGCGGCAGGGGTGTAGTCGAGTTTGCGTATTCGCCTCTGACCAGCGTGAGCAGATCCAAACCCTCCAACAGCAGAGGGATTTCACTTCTCACATTCAGACCTTGACATTTCCTAGTGTTAGATGTATAAAAAGCTTCATCCCACAGCTAAATCCTAGCAAGGATGAACGCCTTTTGGTTCACTGAGCTGCTGGAAGACATTCTGTGGCCTGACGAACCACAGAGGACTGTACCTGCCTCTCTCCTTCTCTCCTTCCCTCGTACCCTCTCTCCATTTTTCTCTCTCCTCTTCCCCCCTGTTTCTCTCCTCCTCTCCTTCCTTCTCATTCTCCCTCTTCCCCTTTATCTGTCTCTCCCTCTCTCTGTCTCTGGCTTCCTCCCCCCTCTCTCTCATTTTCTCTCTCTCCCCCTCCTTCCCCTGCCTTGCTCAGGGCAACATGAATGAGGTAATAGAAGTTTGCACTGTTGCTTTGCCGAGCTGACCTTTAATCCAGAGAAATAAATCACTTTCAGCTCCTATTATTGGTGAAGCCCCGCAGCCTCAGCGTGCACAAAAGAAGCCTTTGTGTGGTGTTACTTGTTTTTAAGTTAGAGTGTCAAGCCCATGGTAGGAGTAGCTGATGTCACCTCCACCATGGTCAGCACAACACGGGTGCCATGATCATGCCTGGGAACTGGCGGGCTCAGCATAGCCCACGGGTGTGTCCACGCACATCCCTGCATGTCTGCGTATCTGTCCTGTGACATGCACGTGTTTGTACACCTACGCATATGTACATTAAGGCCGTATACCTGATGCAGGTGGAGGACAGCCTGCTGCATGGGCCTGAGAACCTGGGCCCCGCAGCTTTCTTCCCTGCTCTCTCCTTCTCTAACTAGGAATGCAGTCTGTGCCCACAGGCAACTTTGTTTAGCACTGCTATAGTTTCTCTCCTGTCTCTTGAGAGTAGGAGGCTTCATTTCCTGTGTAGGTTTCCTATCTCTAAAGATGGGAACGATGTCCCCAGGTCGCAGCAAGGATAGCACCAACCTGTGAGGGTGCCGAGCACTCGGGTGTGGGCACGTGTCTCAGACGCTCCCCCACACACACTGGGAGCTGGGGCAGGCCAGCCTGAAGATACCATCTGTCAGTCCCTCAGCGGGAGTTGGGAGGAATGCAGCATGGGAAGGGGGGACCTGAGGGAACCCCTCACACAGAATACTTTTACTGTCCACACACCTGTCTCCACAGCGCTGGCTTCCAGGCAGCCTACTGGTCAAATGAAATGGAGGAAAGCGGGGGTGGGGGAGCTCCAGTCAGAGAAGGCTGGCCCGTGTGGTCAGCTGGGCTGAGGCTGGCTCTCCCCCTGTGTTGAGTCTGTTTCTTCTTAACCTGAGCAGCAGTTAGAGTGGAGTAGGGTGGGGGGATTCTCTGTACCGGCCACAACCTCCCTGCAGGGCCCACTATCCTCTTGTCATTCTCTTGGTTTTTCAGCTCAAGGTAAGTGTTCTCAAGGACTTTGGGAAGTCCGTAGCCAATATAATTTTCAGGGCCCTGGCCCCATGGAACGACCTGAACCTGGCAAAGCCCTGGGCACAGGAAGGCCCAAGTGTTTCTTCCATTTTTTAAACAAACTGCTTCTTCAAGGGTTCAGAAGGCAGCACCTCGGAATGCATGTACCACAGAGCGTTTCAAATGCCTGAAACATAAACTTGGAGCCGAGCGGGTAAAGGAGCTTGCCACCAAGTCTGACGACTTGAGTTCAGTCCCCTGAACCCACGTGAGAAAGCAGGCTTCCTTGGGTTGTGCTCTGATCTCCATGTGCACTATGGCATTTTCCCATGCACACATACATACTTACATACATACATAAACGTGAAGTGTCCTGAATGGTGGCACCACCCGCTCAGCTGTGACAGGCATAGAGAGTGGCTGTCATTTGAAGAAACATCAGATCACACGCATGTGTCTGAGGGGGTACATGTAATTGTGTTTCTGGAGATCTGAGGGGCTTTCATGCCATCTCTCCACCTCATCCTTTCACCTCAGGGTATGGACAGCAGCTCTCTTAGAACTCGGGCTTGGCGAGACTATATGCCCCAGTCCCACGACCCACAGAAACACCCGTTGAGCTCCCACCAAAGAGCCCAGCCTCTTGGCCACAGGCGTAGGCCCACATGGGTCTGTGGAGTCTGACTGTAGAGTGATT